ATTATTTATGGCATCAAGCGTGTACAGTATGAGCCAATCAGTGGCAGTAATGACAGAGCATGCGCTGTTATGCAAAAACCGCGATAGAGTGAAGCCGCGGAAGTCGAAGCGCGAAGTGGCGAGGGTTCACTGTATTTGCAAAAGTATAAAAAACAGGAAGACAGAAGAATTGATGCGTTCAAGTTATGATATTGTTAAAGATTAAGCATACTGTGTGGGATACATAAAGATTTCTCCCCAGGTTGTCTCCCCCAAATGTATGCCAAACCGAATTTGCTGCTTACTACACATGGTAAATGACTGTACACTTGGAGGTCACCGCAAGCAGGTCAGAGGTTATTCTCCCTAAGGCTTATCAGCCATCTAGAGCAATCTGACTGCATAGTCTGTCCTACCCTAAGTAGGGTCCACCCCCTTGTCATAAGGATAGCAGATTGTTTCCCTGAAGGAGAGCCCAGGGAGGTGTCAAGCCCACTCAAGGATGACCAAGGTTAGGCTGCCATCTTGAGTCTAGGGTCCGCCCACCTTGTCACATGTGTACCCCTTGTCCCTCCCCTTCCTGTGATACGTATGGGTATGTGGTTACCTATAATTACGCCCCTAAGGATATATAGACCTTGGTCAGAAATAAAGAAGAGACATTTTTTCCTCCTTCCCGCTGCTCCTCCTGTTCTCTGTGCAGACCTGGTTGCCAGGATGATGGCTGTCCTGGAGGTGAGCATGCTACTGCAAAATGTGTCTGACTTCTTTAGTTCACTCTCTCCTATATTCCATTACTTTACCATGATCTCTATATATTATAACTGTACAATTTCTCCTACAGATCCCCATGGGAGTTAGAGGCTGGTCTACTCTAACATACTATAGGATGCCTGAAGAATGAATAGATAGGTCTTAAAAGAAATATAATCAAAATGCTTCTCAGAAGTGAGGGTAGTAAGACTTTGGCTCATTTACTTTGGATATGTCATTAGGAAACACCAACCACTACACAAGAATATCACAATTGTCAGAGGCTAAGAGAAAACAAGGAAATCCTCAGTGAGAGAGACTGACACAGCAGCATGGGACTCAAATATACCAACAATCACAAAAAGGGCACATGGCCAGACTACATTTTATCCTTTAATAAAGTTGTCGTGAGTCAAGCTGACCTGATGGCAATTAACAACAAATCAAGCCAATACTATTAAACTGGAAAGTCTTTTCTGCTATTACATAATACTCAACAGAGAGAGAAAGTTAGATGAAATGTATAATCTAAGCATACCAATAAACATCCCATATTCTGTTCCATTAAAACTTAATGGTCTATCAGTTAGTTACTCATGTATATCACGTAATAATGGCCTTTTGGAAAATATTGTTTCACTGAGCTATACAGATTTTAACACATTTCATAATACTAAATTATTTTATTTATATAACTCAGCAGGTCCGGGCTGCTCATATCCTATTCAAAAGAGAGATCTAACTCATTACACTCTCGGGAGATAGGTCTAAGTCCTTAATAGCCTGCCTGATAAAAAATGTATTTGCTTACCAGAGGCTTTGGGCCACATGAGATAGTTCATGCTCTCAAATGTAGTTTATGGTGAGAGCCTTGAAGGAACTTCAAAAAAGTGTGAGAAATGAAATTTTAAAATAATGGAAAATTTTCACGAACTGTCTAAAGCCCCCTGGTACTATGTTTTATGGTGGGGGCCTTGTGTGGTATGAGCCTAACATCTCAGGGGCTGGAAACTGAGTAATTAAAGTCCCAGATCACCAAGACTTAGGTGACCCGCTCTGGTTGGTAACACTTTGTGCATACTGTGTGAATTATTACTGAAAGAATTAAGCACTGCCCAAAGACTCCACTAGGGGAGGAAAATTGGATGCTTTTACCTGGTCTCTCCTGGATCTTGTCCCACATACCTTGACCACATGGTATTAATCTGAACCTTTCAGTATAATAACCATAACCATGAACATTACTATACTGAATTCTCTGAGTCCTTCTAGCTAGTCACTGAACATAATAAGAGTGGACTTGAGAACTCCCAACAACCAGCAATCTTAGTAGAAAAGGATCAGGGAAGGTCTCAAATGCAGTTGTGGAAATTTGGTTTCTAAAGCTCTGATTTTTCTTGGAAGCTCAAATTTTGTCAATGGCAACATAGTTATTTTTCTTGATGTAATGAAGGTTCACTAATTCCGTTTCAAGAAAACATTTGTCAAATACATATGTCTGGAAAAACGTTAAGTGGTAGTTACATAATCTCACTTCAGTTTGAGGATATTAAGAGTGATTGGGTGGAGTCTAGCCTGTCAATCAGGTCCTGTGGGCATGGCCTTCTCATGAGGATTCTGGGGACTCCTCTTCTTCTTTGGAGGTGGTACACACTGCTTCACATTCCTGTTTGACAAGTCACATGGAGCCATGCTGATGGCAGCCAGATCCCTGGGGCTGGAGGAGCCATGTGGAAACCCACCCCAGCTCCAAGTTGCTTCCACCACTGGATCCACAAGACTTTCCACCCAATGACATGTGATCTTCCTGCATTCGGCATCATTCATGTGCTATGTGAGTCTAAAGAGGAATTTATGAGTTAGTATCGAACATAAAGGCTAATATTAGACTTACGGACTTAATCTAGACTGGGCTGGATGTTTTCTCAATATGTAACTGATCTTTGATAAAAAGCTCTCTCTTATACACATGAGTATCTCTGGGTTTGCTTCTCTAGTCAAGCCGGAGTAACACAGCATAGTTTCTGTATCAGTCTTTTTTCAAATAAAAAAAAAAGTGTACCATAAAAGCGGAAGTTGATTCATTTCTCACCTCAAACAACTGCACAATTGCTTTTTCTCAAGACATTGCACTTCAGGGTACAAACTTGCTTTATGTGTATTTTCCATTTCACCACACAAATACTAAAAAGACATGATAAAGACTGTGACTGAAAAGTATTAGTATTTACTATTTCATCAAGGATATTTTTAATTGGCATGCAGTTTTATCATCCTTTTGCTCTGTACCATCCATACAATTGGCAACAAAGTAAAAATGACAGATAATGTCTTATTATGAAAGTTGTTTTGCCTCTGCAGATCTCTTGAAAGGGTCTCAGGGTATCTCGGTGCTCTATGAGTTTCTTTTTGTGAACCACAAAAATCTGATATCTTGGAGTCACTTCCTGCTCATTTGGCCCCATGTGTTAGAGAAGTGTTTATAGGGGTTTTTCCTTGAAGAGTCTCAGCTAAATCTGTCAACTTTCATGTGAAAGACAAGATCACCACCAATATTATAACCAAAATGTACTTCCTTCCTATTTCCGTATGTAAAGTTCATCCACCAGTTTTCTTTAGTTGTGAATTTTTGACTGTCAGTTTGGCTTTATATAAGATCAACCCTGTATAAAAGATCTTGTTTCCACATATTTTTATTAATAGAAGCATCATTATAACTTACTGATAAGTTTCAGACTTTTTTAACTTCATAAATTTGACATCTGTCCTATGATTCCTAACATTTTGACAATTCCACTCTATTTTTCTCTAGCAGAATCAAACATTTACAAGAGGTCTTCAAAAAGTTCGTGGGAAAATGTAATTAAAAGGTAGTAGAATTTTTTCACAAACTTTTTAAAGCTCCCTCATCTGTAAATTCTTTTTAACTTTTTCTAAGTTTCTACTTTATGGTTTGCTATGTTTCCTACTGCTAGCATACATTCATTAATTATTTAGATAGCTAATTTATAAATCACTCTACAAATAAAAAAGGAGATGAGCCTTAAACTGCCAATTACTACTAACTGATTTTCAACATCAACCAGATCCTTCACAGTACTGGAATCCATGGCCAGCACAACTCTTTCCTCTAGCTGAGGCGTTACATATAGCACCATCCTCTTCTTGCTCCCCACATGTCTCCATCAAGATCACCTAGCTGGCAGTGGATTTCCCAACTATCCCATACTTGTTAAACCAAATACCCTGTTCCACATAAAAAGCCAACAAAGAAAAGGAGATATGTGATCAAAAGTATTCACTAAATCGAGCTGCATTATCAGTTAGATGTTTGAAAAGTAATAAATCTCATCCAGGTGAAGGCATAGGACCTAGCAACAGTTCATTCTGTTAGCCATCAGATTGCCATGAGCCAGAGCCAACCCCACAGCATGTAACACAACTTCATTATGAAAAGCTTTCTTTCCAATAATTGTAGACCTTACACTAAAACTCAATCGTAACTTCCCCAGAACAATGCAGTTAGAATTGGAAACATTATCTCAAAAATCAACCACACATGATTTTATCCACAAATTTTCTATCCTGTCTAATCAGACTTCTATCAGTAAGTAGGAAAAGCTTCCAACTAGGCATCTCAGTCTCAAAAAGCAAAACTAAAATACTTATTAGTTCTTGCATTATTGTTCATCTCATCCTAAATGCATATTTTACTATATGCAGAATAATTAAATGGAAATTCGTAAGTTCTTAGCACTATCAACATGTTAACAAGCTACTTCCTAATACACTTAATTTATTATTTTAACATTTAGACGAGATCCTGTGATAAATCACATCACTTTCACCTGCCTGAGAAATGCCAATGTTCATCTGATAAGAACTATATGCAAAGGCTTATATATAAGCATTTTACTAGTCTTTTTATGATTATTCTGATTATTCTCAACATTACTATGAATTTGAAGACAATTGTTACCTTACAGCATTTCACAGATGGAAAACCTGAAACTTGAGGAAATCAGATTTTCCCAATACAGAAATTCCTTACATTGAAAAAAGAAATTCAGGTTTCCCAAAGTGCAGATTTCTCTTCTCTCCTACTTCCCCTGTACGTGTCAAGCTGACAGAAAACTACTACTTATTATCATGTCTCATGCAAAGAATGTTTACTATACATGTAGGCAGAAGTGAACAAAAAAGTTAGTTTAGTATATTAAAAGACTTTATGGAGTCCTATACTAAGCGACACCCTGAATTTCTAAGCCCTGAGGCACATAATACAGCACTTCCCAACTTAATTAACTGATAAAAATCACAGAACACCAATTACTAAAACTAAAAAGTGCTGTATACAATTTACAAAATGCTGTGAGACAGTTAATATTATAAAACCGGCTTGTTGATGGTTATTAACCAGCAAATAATTTTCTCTACCAGAAGACTTAAAAAACATTGTGGGAAAACGGAATTAAAAGATCATGGAATTCTTCCAGAACTTTTTGAAGCCCCTTTGAATTTGACCAAATTCCTTTCTTATACTGATAAAATGCTTGTTCTCCAAGATTTTGAATAAACAGAAAAATAAACCATCCTCCACTTTCAAATATAATGAGACAAAACAAGAAAGCCAAGTTCATTAACTGTTTTAAAAGTCAGCTAAATACTACTAGGAACAAAAGTAATGTCATTCAAATTTCTTCGTTATTTTGAAAAAGTAATTCTCCTAAGTTTGCAATCCCCTTTAGTTACAATTGTCTTGAAGGATTTAAGCCTTACAAATCCCCATAAACCAAACACTCAAATGCCTTTACATTTTTTAACATTTTTAAAACCATTCAGCCTCTCTACAAGCACTTTTATTCGGCATTCCTATCAATTATCCATTACCCTTAGCAACTAAATTCAATTTTTCTGACTTTGTATTCTCCTCACTGAGCCTTGAAAAAAACCGCACACAAAAAATGTCAACTGAGAAAGTAAGGTGCCGAGCACCTTAGAAGAGGTCAATTAACTTGCTGGGTGTGAAGACTTCATAAAGCAGCATCAACCAAGGTGACTTCTCCAGGATCCGTAACTCATCTGTTGGTTTTAGGAACTGATTGGACCCAAAGATGTCTACCCATTTTACGAGAAATAACTTATATAAGCGGCTTCAAAAAGTTTGTGGAAAACTGAATAAAAGGGTAATGAATTTTTTTTTACATAAACAAGCCTTTCATATCTCTGCCCAGTTCACTCTTCCCTTGATGACCTATAAAATGGAATGTGCCAAACTAAAAACAATTCAAAATAATAAATGGGAGGGAGAAGTGTCACTATTTTACAAAACTAGTACAACAGAGCAACATATGCTTCAGATTAAAAATCATGCTGGATACTAAAATTATTCAGCATTTATTAATTGTTTATTGATTACAAAGTACATGCTACCTTTTATGACACTGAAACTTGATAGAATCCACTTGTGATGGTCAATTTTAACTATCATTCTGGCTATGCTGTGGGACACAGTTGTTTGTTCGAACACTAGGCTATATGCTGTTGTGAAGGTGTTCTGTAGATGTGGTTAAAAGATCTACAATAAAAAATTCTTTAAGTAGAGATTACCCTTAATAATGAAGGACGGCTAGTGGTATAATGGCTACAGGCTGAACTACTAACCAAAAGGTCTGTAGTTCAAGCCCACCAAATGCTCCTTTGGAAAAAGATATGGCAACCTGTTTCCATAAATATTTATAACCTTAGACACCCCGTCCTGCATGATCACTATGAGGCACAATCAACTAGACAGCAAGTACAATTTTGTTTTCCTAATGGGTGGGTCCCATTCAATCATTTGTTCCTTACAATCAATCAATTCCTTTATTTGTATATTGCTGTTTGTTATTGGGTACCATCAGTAAGAACCATCCAACTCAAATGACTCCATATGACTGTCTCATAGTTTCTTTAGTTGTAATTTTTGAAGAGGCAGATCACCCAGTTGTTTCTCCCAGACTCACTTTCACTATAATTACTGTATATACACAAGAATAAGCCTATCCGAATATCAGCCGAAGCACCTAATTTTACCACAAAAACTGCATTTAAAATGTGCTGAAAAACTTGGTTTATACACAAGTATATACAGTCTTCAATCTGTATGCTGACTAAATAATACAAGACAGACAATATTAAATAAAGCACATCTTCTTAATTAGCAACCTGAGATATGC